TCCCAAGGATGCTTGTTCTTTAGTTTGGTTATAATTTTGATGTGGTTGTGAGATGAGGCGAGCACAGCGTTTACCTGACTGCCAACTTGACCGGACCTGAACAGCTTTCTAATGATTAAAAAAAAAAAAAAGAACCAGTAGTTAAAACCTCACAAAGAAACTTTAAAATAGTTTCTACCAAGGACTCCCAGGGTGGCGGGGTGGGAGGGGGACCTAACCTTAAACAGGCTTTCAAAGATTAGAGAAAGAGGAAACATTCTCTAACTTTTTATGAGACTAGCATAAAAAATATTAGCACATTGAAGCCAGTGATATGTTAAAATGAAAGGTAACGTTTTATGACCAATCCATGTTTATTTTAAGAATGTAAAATAAAAAAAATATAGTCGCAATAATAAAGGAGAAAAATCACTTTAACAGATCGCTTAACAGATGTGCAAAAGCATTTTTTAAAATTTAGTATGCATTCATGTAAAATAAAGAAAACCTCTTAGAATATTCAGGAACAGGAGAGAACTTCCTTAATCTAATTAATGGTAGCTCCATAAAACCTGCAGGATATATTATATATACCCACAGTGGAAAGCTAAAACCTTTAAGAGCTGGAATGAAATAAGGATGCTTGTTATCAAAACTATTAAGTACGTACTAGATTTGTAGTACATACTTATAATACGTACCAGCATTGTAAAATTAAAAATGTAAGTTTGAAAAGGAAGCAGCTCATTATTTGCAGAAAATATGTTTGTCTACATAGAAAATTCAATAGAATCTACAGATAATTTATTAAGAGAGTTTGTTGGTTGGAGAAAAAAATGAACATTCAAAAATAAAGTACATTTCAGAATATCAGCAACAAACAAAACTAAAAATTTGAAATGACACTATGTAAGATAGCATCAATAATGTGAAGTACCCAGGAAAAAAGTCAAGGAATAAATTAAAGATGTCTGGAGAAAATTTTTAAATTTTATTAAGAGGTAGTAAAGAAAATCTGAATATATGAGATAAAACATTTATGGATTGGAATACTCAATATTATAAAGACAAATTTACATTGATTTGTGGATTCAGTGTAAGCCAATCACATTTTCACTTTTTTTTTTCTTTTTTTGATTTGGTAAGATGATTCTAAATCGTATAGGAGGTAAGAAGGACCCAGATAGCCAAGATGCCTTTGATAAAAGGACTAATGGGAAGATTTGCTCTACCTGATAGCAACATTTACAATAAAGCCACTTTGGGGGAAGGAGAGAAGTTCCTCTCTCCTAGGTAGGTTCTTTTGGCTAGTCTAATCAAATAGACCTGAGGCAGATTAATAAGAGAAATGATCAAATTTAATTATGTATGTGTGGTAACTCCACATGCATGAGAGTTTCAGAGACAGAAAGGGAAAATGAGGAAAAAATGACAACTAAGGATGAGTTCAGGTCCTTGGGGCTTCTTCAGAGGGAAGGAAGGTCATTCATAGGACATAAGAAGGCAGTAATTAGGTGTTTGCCCTGCCATATAGATAGGTCATAAGGTTTTTTTTGAGGGGGGGAGCTGAGGGGAAAGGAGGTAATAACTTTTATTAGGGGCAAGGCCCCTAATTTAAATTCTTTATGGGAGAGGTAAAAGTTTCCCATGGGCCCTCAGGGTCTCCACTGGCCCAATCTAAATGGTTTCTATACAAAAGAAAAAATGCCTATTTAACCTCATAAGTAATGAGAGAAATGCAGAATCACAGCAATTGTGGGACGCCATTATAATCTTAACCAGTTTGACTACATATAGCATCTGTCAATTCAAGTGTTGGTGAGGATGTGAAATAAGAAATTCTTACACACTTCTGGTAGATGTTTCAGAAAACAGGCATTATCTAATAAGGTTCAAAATGTATATATCCTCTGACGAAGTAATTTCACTCTCAGAAATGTACTCCAGAGAAGCACCTATCTTGTGCACCTAGGATTCATGTAAAAGAATGTCCAGGATGGCATTGTTCATAATAACTGAAACAGAAGATGAAATGTTTGT